AAAACTGACCCTTTGAGATTATAAACATAATCCACAGATGTGTTTATATTCCCCCTGAGGTCTGAATTGTAAGGTGATAGAGAAAGAGGCTGACGTATTTATTCCGGATAAACTTCTCATGTTTGTTCCCTTTATTGTTATAAAAAGATAAATCTGGGGCTTCCCTGGTGGTGCAGTGGTTGAGAGTCCGCCTGCCGATACAGGGGACGCGGGTTTGTGCCCTGGTCCGAGAAGATCCCACATGCCACGGAGCGGCTGGGCCCGTGAGCCATGGCCGCTGAGTCTGCGCGTCCGGAGCCTGTGCTCCGCAACGGGAGAGGCCCCAACAGTGAGAGGCCCGCGTACCGCAAAAAAAAAAAAGATAAATCTGGGCTCTATTTGCCTATTCAAATGCAAGTTAGGGAAATGTGGGTCCTAGTGTCTTCTGATGCCTGAGTATGTGGAGATCAGAGAGCTTGAACTTAGGTAGCATGGGCAGGTATGTTTGCTTCCAGAGCAGTCCTGTCCAGGTGCCTGCGACAAGTTTGGGGCATGTGGGCTGCCAAGAACTGCACTTTTGTCCATGTAGAAATATATGTTTTGTGAAGGATAAGCAGCAGTGAAATAGCAAATCCATACGAGCAGTACTTCTCAAACTTTAATGTGGAAAGGAATTACCTGAGCTCTTACTAAGATACAGTTTCTGACTCAGCATGTCTAGGGTGGGGCTGAGATTCTTTCTAACCAGGTCTCCAGCAATGTCAATGCTACTGGTCCAAGTAGCAAGATGTAAGAGGGACTTCCCTGGTGGTGCAGTGGTTAGGAATCTGCCTGCCAGTGCAGGGGACACGGGTTCGAGCCCTGGTCCAGAAAGATCCCACAGGCCGTAGAGCAGCTAAGCCCATGCACCACAACTACCGAGCCCGTGCTCTAGAGCCCGTGAGCCACAACTACTGAGACCATGTGCCACAACTACTGAAGCCCACGTGCCTAGAGCCCGTGCTCCACAGCAAGAGAAGCCACTGCCATGAGAAGCCCACGTACCGAAACGAAGAGTAGCCCTAGCTCTGCACAACTAGAGAAAGTCTGTGCACAGCAACAAAGACCCAATGCAGCCAAAATTAAATAAATTCAAAAAAAAAAAAGATGTTAGAGACAGTGAAGTCCTCATATGAACTCCAGAGGACATTCTAAATACAAGATTTGAATTTTATTTCAGTGGTACTAAGGACCTCATAAGTATATATTCTTTTAAATGTCTGAATAAAGTCATACTATTTTAAATTTCCTTTTTGTGGAAGTATTGGGCTGGCCAAAAAGTTCGTTCAGGTTTTGCCGTACGATGTTACAGAAAAACCTGAACGAACTTTTTGGCCAACCCAATAACTAGCATACATAATAAGTGAGTAGATTATGCTTCATGGGTTTTTCACAAAGCCATTTAACCACCATCCAGACCAAGAAAGAGAATATTACCAGCATCCCAGAAGCCTCCCCACACCCGTGTCTAAATCACTGGTTTTCCCCGTCCTCCTTCTCAAACCAACCTTACTCTTACAAGCAGAGATTAGTTTTATCTGCTATAAACTTTACATAAACAAAATCGTGCAGTAAGTACTCTTTTGTTTCTAACTTTATTCACCATTATTTTTGTGATATTCATCTACATTATTATATGTAGTTAGTTGTTTCTCATTCCTCTCTACCAGAGTCAACAAACTTTTTCTTTAAAGAGCCAGATAGTAAATATTTTCAGCTTTGGCTGCCATATGGGCTCTGGTAAAACTACTCCACTCTGCTGCTGTAGCATGAAAGCAGCCCCAGATGATACACAGACGAATAGACCTGGCTCTGTTCCAGTTAAACTTTATTTTCAAAAGCAAGCATAGGTCAGATTTGGCCTGTGGGTCATAGTTTACTGATCCCTGCTCTTTTGCAGTCCATTGTAAGTATTTATTACAATTTATCTCTCCATTTTCTTCTTAACGAGTATAGTAGTTTTCTATTGCTGCTATAATAAATTATCACAAATTTAGCAGCTTAAAACAATACAAATTTATTATCTCCCAGTTCTGTAGGCCAGAAGTCCAGGTGGGCTCAACTAGTTCCTTTCTTCCAGGTCCTATAAGGCTGAAATCAAAGTGTTGGCTGGCCTGGGATCTTATCCAGAGGCTCTGGGAAAGAAATTGCTTCCTACTCATTCTGGTGGTTGATAGACGATTGTCCCTTGTAATTGTAGGACTGAGGTCCCTGTTTCCTGGCTGGCTGTCAACTGGAAGCTTCCTTTAGTTCTTCCAGGTCACTCTTTAGTCCTTGCACATGGCCCCCTCAATCTCAGAGCCAGCAACAACACATCAGCTCCTTCTCACGCTTGGAATATCTCTTCTAGAAGCTGCACTGTTTTACGTTCCACATTTAAATGTACAGTTTTCCTCAGCTGATTTAGGATACGGTATAAGGGAGTGCTGAAGAATCATTCTTTTTTCCATGTGGCTATCCAATGACCCAGCACTATTTAGTGATAGTACTGCCCTTTCTCCACTGCTCTGTGGTGTCAAATTGTCATCAGTCAGTGGCCATGTATATGTGAGTTTATGTTTGGACCACTCGTTCCATTGATCTGGTTCTCTATCCTTACACTGCGAATGACTATAGCTTTATTACAAGTGATATGATAGTGTAAGTCTTTGCATTTTGTTCTTCAAGATCATGAGTCTGACTGAGTTTGATCTGAGACTGATTTTGATTGGCATGTGCTACCTGGTAGGGAGTTTGTAAGGGTGGCCTCCATCTGCCTCTAACCACTTAAACTACCAATGCTTACTGTAAAGAACTAGTATTCACTGTATGAATTACTTGGCTATGGTCAGTTTCCTAGGCATTGCTAGGTAATTTTGTACTTTATCCTAAAGGCAAAAGGAGGCAGTAAAACAACTTAAGCAAGCAATTAGAGTTTATTGCTTTTTAATAAAGAAGTTAGATGAGACCATGAGATTCATGGTTAAATCTTGTTTTAAACAAATATAATAACAATCGTAAAGAAGATGGGTGGTGAATCTGGAGTTTATTGAAGTGGTCAGAGCTAGAGACGACAGGGCCCTGAGATAGGCCTGTGACAATGGTTGTATAGAGAAAGTGGTAGATGTGAGAAAGATTTAATGGATGCTACTTGGAGATCAATTACATCTAGGGTGTTGACTCCATTGATAAGGGACATAATACCTAGCAGCTACCGACAAAGAATTCTGGAGAAATTATGTATAAGGATAATGCGTTGAGTATTGAGCATGTTGAGATTAAGTTGCCTGCAACCTATCTAAATGGAAACATTTATCAGAGAGAAATAGGGGCTGGTGCTTGGCAGAGAAATCAAAGCTGGAAATAGATTTGGGGGAGTTTTCTGTATTTAGATGGTAATTGGAGCCATGATTGAATCAGACCATCCAGAGAATGTGTACAAAACAAGAATAAAAGAGTATTATAGATAGAATCTTGGTGATTGGACCATCTATAAGGCATACTAAAAAAGGGAAGGGGGGGAATGATTTGTTGTAAAAATAGGAAGGGAATCGGGAACAAATAATAATCTTAGATCTACCTCATGTTACAACTAACTCTTCAATCACAGAATTATTTCCATCTCAAAATAATAGAGACACAGATGTAGAGAACAAACCTATGGACACCAAGGGGAGAAAGCGGGGGTTGGGGTGGTGGTGGTGGGATGAACTGGGAGATTGGGATTGACATATATACACTAATGTGTATAAAATAGATAACTAATAAGAACCTGCTGTATAAAAAATAAATGAAATTCAAAAATATATATATATATTGCACAGAAAAATATTGATCTTATCTTTGTCCTTTTCTGTAAGAATCCATCAAAATAGTGTTTTCTGTAGTTGAAGCATTAACTATAATGTTAATCAAATTATATGACTATATCAGAGATTAAACTGAGGAAGTCATTCATAAATAATAATTTTCATGATGCAGCGAGGTAGCCTCATTTTAATTAAAAACAAGTAATGACAGAGAAGTGGAAGGGAAAACGTCTCAGCTGGAATCAGGTGCTTAGGATTACAAAGAATAAAGGAGATTTTCCTTGGAGCATGGAGATGGTTACGGTGAGGTGATTAAAATGAGAGGAATTTGGTGTATCCCTATCTTCAATCCAGGGTTCTATTTGCATGCGCCGGTTAGACATTGGATATGTCCAGCTTCTGATGATGAGGTTGGGAGTTCCTAGTCATCTCTCTGAAGCTCCTAGCAGGGCCCATACAATGAGATACCTGAGATGTGGGTAATAGTGAAAAACAAGGCATGCTGGGATAGGAAAGCCACTCTCCCAGGCCAGCTGTCCTCAACCTGTGAAGAGTCTGTTGCCCTCGGGGCTCTTGAACACAACCACCAAAGGCCACTGGTTCACAGGTTCCATGTTCATTTCATCCAGTAAAGGAGTTGCTTCATCCACAGGGCAGGAAAACAATATAAAATTAGAGGAGGGAATCAAATCAATAGTCAGTCCAGCAGGAGACAGTGTGTGTTCTCATTTGAGCTGTTAGCAGGTGCACTGGGTGAATACAGAGAAGTTGATAAATGGCTGATTCGATAGACTGGTAGCAAACACATGCTTTGCCAGAGATGACTTTTTAAGTCACCATACATCAAACAGACAGTGTCAGCCTTTGAGGATAAACCTGTGAAGCCTTGTTGTGCTCTTTGAACTACCTCTGAGACCGGAGACTGAAAAGGGGCTTGAGTATTCCTCTGAATCCACTGGGAGGATTGAAAGCTTCAAAGAGGAGCGCCATCATATCCAAGGGGAGATATACTGATTGAAGGAACCAGTGTGAAATAGTCTTTAATAATTACCAGAAAGCTGGAATCGACTAGTGTTTTGCTGAGCTATATTTTATCTTTATTGGATTAACTGTGACACAGTAGGTTATGTCAAAGGGAATCTGCATGAATATTAAAAGTAAATGTGGTGTGAATAATAGATAACTTACATTAGATGCACCAGCATGCAGTAATTTTTATTCACCTACATAATTAGATTAAAACAAATCTGCTGAATAAAATACATTGTCTTGCTATAATCTGGTTTGAAAACATCCAAAAGTTATGGCCGTAAGGATGTTTGCTGGTATTTTACATATAAATACATAATTCACCCTAAGAAATGTTTTCTAAAAGGTTCCTGGTAGTTACAAGAGTAGGTGATTGTGAACATCAGTATTCTTACTGGTCTAATAATAAGAAATGCCCTTAAGGTCAAATTAAGACTCCTACAATGTTGATACCAGAATAAAACAACCAACATGCAAGTTTTATGTTCACCTCTGGGAAATGAGCTGTATTTCTCTTTTGGGCTGGGAAAACTGGCATTAAGATTTTTCTGGTAGATCTCAGTCCTCCTGGTCTTCGCACTGGTATCTTCTCATCTCCCACCCTCATCTGCCCAGATGCTGCTTGCCATTGCTGAAGAAATTCAGCTAGAATCTGTTGTAACAGGAGGTGGGTTACAACACTATGTAATTCCACCCAACTGTGGATGCTGGGGACTCCCTCACCCACCTCTCTCTGCTCCTTGAGGCTTCTGAATATCCTGGGCTATTGAAAAAGAGAGCGTCCGTGTAGGGACGTTTGAATGTGGCTCAGCAAAGTCTATGGGAGGCATGGGCATCCCTTCTGCGGGATGATGCACAGGTACTATGCTGGCAGATACAGGCAGAAGGCCCTCCCTGGAGGGCCGTGTGGCTCATCAGGCAGGTGACAAGTGCGGTTTACTCTCATGTTGATGAATGGGCTGCCGGTCCTAGCTGGTTCCTTACAGCTCTGTGGTACTGGCAAGAGATGATGTTGGGCTCTTTCTTCTGATCCTGCTTGCCTCCGTATGAGGCTCAGGTGCCACTTCCCTCCCTCATCCAGCTCCTCTTCCCCTTTCTCAGTCCAGCGCACCTTGGCTAAGGTGGCCACAGTCCCTGATTGGCCTGGGTCGTGTCCCGACTTGCTCATTTGGTGCAAGCATGATGAATAATAACGCCCCTTTTCATTCTCAACAGTGACCCATTTGGACATTAAGTTATGTGGTCACCCTAGTCTCGTCCAGTCTTGCCTGGGAGGTCATTGTCTGAGTCCCCCAGTCTTCTCTTGCAGTCTGTTGTTACGGCACAAACTGGATTCCTTGCCTCCTTCAGGGCATTGTGCTTGTCTTCTTAAAAGCCTCTTTTTATCTCCACAAAATCAGCTCTTGCAAACAGAAAGTTTGGCTGTGCAAGTAGGTCTCTGGGGCTGGCTCCACAAGCTTATTTTGAAGTCCAAGATGGAACATTAACTGCTTTGTTTCCTCTGTATATTCCTGCCACTCTAATTCTCCTTGAGGCAGTGTAGATGGCTGATGACTGAAAGTATCATATACAGAAAAGTCCAGAAAAGAAACCCCAAGGGTTTATATGAAAAGTTATTTTCTCACCATTCTCCCACTTCCAAGTCCCCAGTTGCAACTTGCAATCTCAAGATATTCTTGTCACACCTTCTGTGCCTGGTGTAAGTTTTGTGGAAAAAATAATAATCGCTATTAATTATTGAGTATGTACTAGCATCCAGCACACAGGTTACCTCATGCACTTGCAACAATCCCCTAAGGAGGTTATTATTATCATTATCCCATTTAACAGAGAAGTTAACTCACCTGAACAAGGCTATACCGCTCGTAAGTGGTTGAGCCAGAGGTTAAGCCTGGGCAATTTGACTCCAGAGCTCAGGCACTTAAAACAAAAAGCACTCCTAACGACGCAAAGCTTGCAGGTCTATAACTTGGCAGATGAATTAAAATACAGTATAAACTTCTATTCCTAAGAAAGAGGAGGGTATGGTAAATGCTGTCAGAAACCCGTTTTCAATTGTGTAGTTTCCCCCAAATGACCCCCAAATCCTCCCAATAGCAGCTTCCAAAGGGACCTTTGCCGATCTTCTTCTGACAGGATGGGCCAAAAGTCTTCCCCCAAGAATTGCTCTCCTCATAATTATTCACATCTGTGTGCCTTTCAGCTCAGAGACAAGTTCCCTGCACGGAAAGGGTCGATGGAGGCGCTGTTTGGTTAAAAGCAACAGCAAGTCCCTCCCTCCAAAGGCAGCGTGTCCGTGTATAACGTGGCACCTGAGCTCCACCTACCGTGCTTCTTGAGGTTGCGCTAAACACCAGAGCCCAGCTGGCCCAGGACTGAGACCCGCTCAGCTCCCAGGTGCCTGCAGTCAGCTCTGAGGACCCTACTCCCTAAACAGCCATCAGAGAGGCTGCCAAGATCACACAGGCTGCATTCTCCCACAGCTTCTCACAGGAAGTGAGAGACGAAGGGAATCATGACAGAGGTAGAATCTGCAAATGTACCTAGATGCGTGGATTTAAAAGGATGACTAATAACAGATGAATATGGTCTAGAAATCTAATTTACCATGTATATGTGTCAGAGCAGAAATCATTTAAGCTAGTCTCTCATGAGAGTTGATATAGTACATAAATAGAATAGCCGTTATAAATGTAGAGTGCTTTGGGATTGTCAAAGCAATCACACTGAAATTACCCCAGCGATACCTAATCTCCACTATATAGTCAATATGCGCGTGGACCTATATTGATAAGATGGAATTAATGTCTCAAACGCAAGGCTGTTTTTACCCTGTTTGAGTTAGGTGTTTTTCAGTGAGGGAAGAGGTCCAACCAAGACCGGCAGAATTTGTCTGAATTAACACAGGTGTTCCTACATGTGGTGTTTGGGTTGTGATTCTCATTTGTGGCTTTTATTGTTCCCTTCTCAACATTTCACCACAGTGGCAGATGTTTCCTGAGTGTGCACCCCTTGTATTGCTTTACATCCCTTTGCAGAACGATACTGGGTCAGGGCCTCTCATGAGGCAACAGCTAGTGAATCTGTTTTAAATTTTTTTCCCTTGATCAATGTAATGTATGCAAGTAGTAGGAAATCAAATAGAAGAGACTGGCTTATAAAATACAGCAAGAGTCTATCACCTCACAGCTTCCCACTGCACTCTCCAAGGGCAGTAACGTTTATTTCTGTTTCTAGGTTTTTTGAGCATTAGACATGGGTCTGAATAATTTGTTTTTAGGGCTAATTTTTGATGTACAAACTTTACATCAATTTAACTTCCTGATACGATTGAAAAGGGTACTCTTTAATATGATCTTCCACACCCTCTTTCCCTTCTCTCAGTTTTTAATGGTTATCTCACTATTTTTTAGTGCTGCTAATAGTTACTTTTGAAACTGCAAATGAAATTCGTAGCCCCTGATTTCATGTTCCGTACACTTTTGAAAATGTAGATTGAATCCCCAAAATTGTAAAATAAGAATTTTTAGTGCATGTATCCTTCCCACTCCCTCACCCCATCCTTCCACCTCCCAATCTTTTTTAAACATTTAACTGCAGCTCTTATTTTGACAAGTTGATTTCAGTAGTTTACAACCACTTGTAAATATACAGATATTGCTCATCGTGAAGTCAAGAGCATGCTAGAGTTAAATTTCATCGTCTGCACTTCCTATAACATCACACCTCCCTCCATCATTTGAATCACAATGATCCTAGTATCAAAGTCACTGGTGAAATATCTCCTTTCTTTCCCTCTAACAGTAAATCAAAACCATGCCATATTTTGGGTTGTTTTATATTTGGGCGATGAGTGGACTTTTTTCCTGTCATTTCTTATTGCCTTTCTTTTTTTTATAGTTGAAAGAAATATATCCCTTCATTATGTGCCAAATGTTTTGCAGGCTCTCATTCTTTTACTTGATATACATCCCTATCTTTTTTTTTTTTTTTTTTTTGCGGTACGTGGGCCTCTCACTGTTGTGGCCTCTCCCGTTGCGGAGCACAGGCTCCGGACGCGCAGGCTCAGCGGCCATGGCTCATGGGCCTAGCTGCTCCGCGGCATGTGGGATCTTCCTGGACCGGGGCACGAACCCGTGTCCCCTGCATCGGCAGGCGGACTCTAAACCACTGCGCCACCAGGGAAGCCCCATCCCTATCTTTTGAAGATAGTTTACTTGGCTCCCACTAACCCCACGTTCTAATTTGGACATGCTGCTTTGTATACCAACTCCTTTAGCTACTGTCTTAGTATTTCTTTTTATTGGATTCATGATTGCAACAAGTTCCTTCCTTTGGGTGCTAGAGTATATCCTCAAGTAATTTTCTTAGATATGGTGAATACGAAGTAAACTTCCTGAGTTCTTGCATGTTTGGAACGCTTTGGTTTTGCTCAGAATGTGACTCATTGTGGGCTGGGGTTTTTTTTGCTCATTTGTGTTTTGGGGTTTTTCTATTCATGCTGCTTATTGGTTACTGGACTCCATAGCTTTGGGACTTTTTGTCCTCTTATTTCTTTAATACTTTCCTCTATATTCTCTCTGCTTTCTCTCTGGATATCCTATTAGAGGCTTGAACTCCTGGACTGATCCTCCACATCTTTTATTATTCCCATAGTATTTTCTTTCTCTTTGTCTTTTTACTCTACATTCTGGAATCTTCCAATTCTTCTGCCAAATGTGTTATTATAGCAATCATGTTTCAATTTCCAAGAGTATTGTGTCTTCTCTTATTGTTCATTTCTTAGCAACCTGTTCATGTTTTATAGGTGACATCCCATTTTGACTCTCTGAGAATCCCAATCACATTTTATTCAAGAAGTTTTTTTTTTAATTGAAATGTTTATTGAGATAACTGGGATTCATATGCAGTTATAAAATACACAGAAATCCCAAGCATACTTTACCCAGTTTCCACTCCCCCCCACAAATTTGCAGAACTGCAGTATATCACAATCAGGATATTGACAATACACTCATCTTATTCAGATTTCCCCGGTTTTGATTGAACTCATATATGTGTGTGTATGTGTATTTAGTTCTATCATTTGTGAAGGTTTGTGTATTCTTTACCACAGTCAAGGTACTAAGCAGTTCTATTACCACAAGGATCCTTCATGTTGACTTTTTATAACCTCCCACCTCCCTCGCAGCTCCCTTCATCTCTACTTGTCAACCATTCATCTGTTCCCTATTTCAATAATTTTGTCATTTAAAAATGCTATATAAATTAAATAATATATTATGTAACTTTTGGGGATTTGCATTTTTCACTCAGCATGAATTACCTGGAAATTCATCCAAGTTGTTACGTGTATTGATATTTTGTTCTTTTTTATTTTTGAGTAGTATTCCATGATGTGCATGTAACACAGTTTAACCACTTACCAGCTAGAGGACATCTGCGATGTTTCCAGCTTTTGGCTATTATGAGTAAAACAGCTGTGAACGTTCATGTACAGGTTTTGTGTGAACATGTATAAATACCCAAGAGTGCAATTTCTGGGTCATATGGGAGATGCATATTTAGTTTCATAAGGAACTATTGCCACTATTGCAAAGTAGCTATGACCATTACCACCAATAATGTACAAGTGATCTGGTTTTCTCCATATCCTCACCAGCATTCTAGGTTATCACTACTTTCTTATTTTAGCCACTCTGATAGGTGTGTAGTGATATCTCATTGTACTTTTTTTTTTTCTTTTTTTTTTTTGGTGCGGTACGCGGGCCTCTCCTGTTGTGGAGCACAGGCTCCCAACGTACAGGCTCAGCGGCCATGGCTCATGGGCCCAGCCACTCCGCGGCATGTGGGATCTTCCCGGACCAGGGCACGAACCTGTGTCCCCTGCATCAGCAGGTGGACTCTCAACCACTGCGCCACCAGGGAAGCCCTCATTGTACTTTTAATTGGCATTTCCTTCATGGCTAATGATGAATATCTTTTCATGTACTTATTTACTATCCGTATGTTCATGTCAGTGAAGTGTCTCTACATATCTTTTGCCCATTTTCTCACTGGGTTCTTTGGGTTTTTTGGGGTGGGAGTTCTTCATATAGTCTAGATATTAGTTCTTTATTGGATATGTGATTTGCAAAAATTTCCCCCAGTGTGTAGTTTGCCTTTCCATCCTCTTTACATGGGCTTTTGCGGAGCAAAAGTTTTAAGTTTTAATGAAGTCGAATTTATGGTTTTCCTTTTCCCTCCCTTTTTTCATGCTTTTGTTGTCAAGTGTAAGAAATTTCTGCCTATCCCTAGATCCCAAAGATTATTACGTACGTTTTCATTTTCTAAAAGTTTTATAGACTTACATTTTACATGTAAGTCTATGATTAATTTTGAGTTAATTTTTGTAAAAGATATGAGGTTTTAGTTGAGGTTTAATTTGTTGTCTATGAATGTCCAATTGCTCCAGTACCATTTGTTGAAAAGGCCATCCTTCCTTTAGTGAATTGCTTTTGGTTCTTTGCCAAAATCAATTGGGCATATTTGTGTGGTGCTCTTTTCTGTTCCATTGATCTATGTGTCTATCCCTTTGTCAATACCATGCTCTCTTGGTTATGTAGCTATATATAGCAAGCCTTAATATGTGATAGTGACTCCGCCCACTTTTTCCTTCTTTGTCAAGGTCGTTTTAGCTATCCTGGGGCTTGTG